ACTAAGTAACTTAAGAAGATTTAACTTTCTGTTTGTTACATTGCGGCTGCTGCTGTTACTGTCTACAAAGGATATTTTAGCACTTCCTAACAAATTGCGTACTGATTCTGTTTGTAAAGAGATGGAGGGAAAGGATTCCAAAAGGGATAATCACAATTATTCTAAAAAATTTATACGCAGCATAAAGCAGACGAGAACTCACGGACAGAACTTGAGCCAATGCAGACTTTAACCCTTTAACTCGGTCACTTTTCTTTGAGCCCGTGGTTAGCGAAACAGGTTTGCGTAGTTTGGCGAGATTCAAATCATCACAAATACGGGTTGATTCCCGGCAGTTGTCAGAGGAGCCTGGATGCATAAAGCGCCCATACATCTCTTAGCTTTGCAGTGGACTCCAAAAGCACAATATTTTAAAGCCTCTTCTTCTCAGAAGAAGTTGTGTGTGATTAGGAACAATTTCTAGTTGCCTGATTTCATAACTGGCTCAAATGCAAGATTGCATTGAAAGAAAGAGGAGGAATGAAAAAATGTGCATTGTTTACGAAGTCTCAATGCAGAATGTGTATGCTTTCACAAATAGAAGCTTCTCTTGAGATGATCATATAAAACTCACTTTTCCAGGGGTAATTGTCTGAATGAGGGACGCTGTCGCCTGTCCATAGAATGAGATCAGGATTAGGTATGATACGTTGTGCTTCCTTCAGGGTGTATTCAACGAGAGACTGCAAAGTAGGCCTTGTGTTTTATCTTTGTCTCAAAACGATATTTTCACTCACCATTGGTGCATCGCACATAAAATCACCATAAAATCCAAGTGTACCGGCGGGATCCATACCATGACACATTTTGTGTTTGTCGCCATTTATGGAATATTTGAAGTCCAAATGGAAGTCGGTTAGTTGAAGAATTTTGAGTGCATTGCAACTGTGAAATAGGACAAGTAGCGAAATCATAGACTTTGTCAGGAGAAGATGAAAGAAAGAAGAACAACTGAAAGTAAATTAGTTGATTACTTTCTACTTGATCGGGTGAACTCAAAGCAGATAACATTCATTAGTAAGAAACTCAATGCAACGATAAGGTATCAAGGAGGAAGAACAACTGGACGTGTGAATGAAAGCGTTGATACATGAAGACCTTAAATTGTGCATGTTCAAGCGAATGGTAGTCAGAATTTCTAACTTTGTACACTCCTCCACTATCATTCTTACATTTTTTTGAAAAAGACCTCGTGTCTTCTTTCTTTAGAGGAGGAAATGAACTTGCCATATATCCCATTTAAGAACTACAGTCAACTAGCAGCAGTTTTTATTTTTCTTAATTTCGTAGGTGGTTTTTTTTTTTGAAAAC